CCCTGAACAGGGCAAAAACTGCCTTTCCTAAGCCATGTCACCAGACCTGGGACTCCAGCCCCATCCTGCAACCTGGATCTCAGGTGACATAACAATGAGTGGGCATCTCCCGTGGGCAGTCTCGTTGCAGCCAGGTAGCTGGTTGTCTAACACCCCCACACGATCAAGCCCAGCTGGCTTTTTGCAAGAGAAAACAAGCTCAGAGAAGGGATGAGTTTCCCCAGGTTGCACAACACGTTTGCTTTAGCTAGCGGAGTTCACAGGAGGAGGCTTTTCTTGGCTGTGTTAGGCTCTCTGTAACCGAGGGTGATGGTTTGGACCATCAGGAATCCTATCCAGTGCCTTTTACCTCGAGTTCACAGTGACCCCAGGCACAGCAGCCAGGCCAGGTGAGAGGGAAAGCCCCTCCTGTTCAGAACTCACATCCTGAATCCTTGTAATAATGGGCTCCTCACTGCCTGCCCTGGGCCTCAGCGAACCTGGCCCTTGCTGCTGGCCCTGCCATGGTCCTTTGGCCCTAAAGGGTTTCACCTTCTCTAACTTGACCGTTGGCACTCCATCCCCGAACCCACCAGGAGCCCACCCAGAGTTGCCTCACTGGGACAAAAAGATGCTCCAATCACCCAGGAAATTCCAAGGGATTTAGGAGCTCAGAGTCGGGAATCAGGGTGAAAGGCCAAATATTAGAATCAAAGTTGTTCCTTGTGCTCTTATCACTTAGGAGATTACAAAGGATTTTTTTTCAGGAGCCCTGTGCCAAGAACTAGGGATAAAGACCATTATATATTATTTCTATTACCTTGCAGTGACCCACTAAGAAACTCCTTCCCTGGGACTGCTCCCTAGGGAACCTCGTGGGGCAGAAGAGGTGATGGACAGAGTGGGATTCAGCTATTTCAGGGTCCGTTGGGTCAACGATCTTCACACTACCTATCTTCAGCTGTTCAAGCTGCTAGAACAACTTACCATAGACTGGGTGAATTAAACTATTTACACATCACAGTTCTGGGGCCTGGCAAATTTAAGATCAAGGTGCGGGCAGATCCCGTGTCTGGTAGGAGCCCTCCTCCTGGTTTGGGGATGGACATCTTCTATTTTCACATGGCAATAATCAAAGAGAGGCCTACATCTCAGAGTCTCTTCTTCTAAGGACACTGATCCCATCACGGGGAGTCCACTCTCATGACCTGCTTACTTCCAGAAGGCCCCACCTGCCAATACCATGACATTAGGGCTTCCGCACACACGCCTCTAGCACCACTGAAATGCCCCTCCCTAGATCCCTAGAACTCCACAGAGCCTCACTGCTCTTTCTCAGGGCCCAGGCAGGCCCCTGAATGGTCCGAGTAGTCAAACAAGATGAAACCTGTAGACCATTTAATCACCAGCACAGAATTAAGAAACCTAGTTTAAAAATCAATCTACATTTCCCTTGCATAGCGTGAGTTTTCACTACTAAGCCAAGTGTGGAAAACCAATGGTCACTACTCTGGCGTGAATGCGTGTGTGTGGACACCGTGTGTGTGGGCCGCGGGTCTGTTTAAGCAAGAGGGGCTCTGGTGGAGGGAAAGGCCCTGAGTCAGAGCCCAACGCTCCGTGCCTCCCTTCTCAGCAGATCATGCCGTGAACCCTGACCTCCCGCTACAGCTGAGGCCCAGCCGTGGGGGCTCATTGCACCATGCCCAGAGCCAGAGCCGTTGTCTCAGCTGGGGCTGGCTAAGGCTCATTCTGGACTTCTGTGCTGCAAGGTGAGATACAGCTCTGTGCCCTTGTTGAATTCCATAATAGCATCCACGTGACCTTCAGGCGACTCACTGGACCTTCCTAGAGCTTCGCTTTGTCGCTTGTAATATGGGGGTGTAAGCCAACCTGCTTCTGGTAGAGGATGAAGATTCGATATGAGATGGTGTGTCGTGTGATATGTAAGGCTTAAGATACTAATTTTATTTTAAGGAACGTTAAAGGTTTTTTCCCCTTTCAAGGAGAGTTCACAAAAATTCCAATTTGTGAGACCGAATGACCGGAAATGTCCTAAAGTGTTCTTCTAAACTTAGGATGGGACTCTCATGTTACACGTATTTTAGGGAAATGTCTGTTGTGTGTATCCATGTGTACGAACCTTAGCTCTTCTATCTCTGCTTTTAGGCCTGACAACCAACTCGGGTGACTTTAAGAGTCCTAGCAAACACTCCCAAGCAGTAGTCACTCAGCTACAGAGCTCGTATTTCTTGCTCCTGGAACAGACCAGGCCCGGGGGTCAGGTGATGAGCAGCTTTACTCCTTCCAACGAGTGACCCTACCAAAGCCTATGGCCTGGTTATCACTGGCATCCAGCTGAGGGCAAGTGCCCAAACCTCATGTGGGAGGTCTTTCCCAATTCTGTTCACGTCTCCTGAAGATAGGAGACACCTGAGTGCAAGGGAGGCTGGGGAATGCAGTTCTAGCAGCCTGAAGGAGGGGGTTTAGTGACCAAGTGGACAAGCCAGGACGACAGCTCCTGATGACCATGTCCAATGCCCTAAGAAGCTGTCCTCTTCCTGAGCTACCACCACCCTTCACCTGGGCCCTTCTCATGGGTCCCCCGGCTTCTAGTGGGATCCTACTTCCACCTACACCAGGTCACACTGACCAGCAGCAGAAGTCCAAAAACGGGGAAGATTGGCCATAATCTCCTGGCCCCACCAAAGCTGGCCCTCCCCCGTGCCATCCTTCAGCCCTTGACCATTGGGATGCAGATCCAGAGGGGGGAACCCATTGGCAGCGAAGCCCACGCCTGACTTCATGTTGCGGTCCCCCGAACAGGAGACGACAAAGGTTGGTTTCCAGGTCACACTTTTATTTTTACAGAAGCAGCAGCCGCGCAGCCACGGGGACGTGCGTGTTCTGGACAGCAGGCACGGCTCCTGCGCTGCCAAGAGCCTGCCAAGGGGACGCTCGGGCCCTTCTCCTTGTGGTCCCAGGGTCATGGGAAACGTAAAAGCTACACACCATGCACTGCCGCACGCATCCCCCACCCCTTCCCCTTCCATAATAGCTAAGGAAAGGATGCATCCTTCCGGCAGAAGAGACTGGCTGCAATTAGGGTTCTACAGAAAACCCACGTGCAGCCAGAGGAACTTGGGGCTCTGGAGGGGAAAGGCCTATTCCTTTACTTTGCACACACACTCACCCCGGAGCCAAGTTTCACTCCCCATGAAACCACTGCATGGACAGGGATAGGGCCGGCTACAGGACGAAGCCTGTGGTGTGGCCCACCATGCTTGGAGGTCGGACCGTCGGGGCACCAGATGACGGGAACAGAACATAAACCTGAGGCTGCTGTGATCCCGAGACCTTCCCTTCCAAGCCCCAGTTTCCGGGTGAGGTCTGTGAAGGGCAGGATTTTGGTTTTTCTAGGACTAAGGGCAATAGAGGCTGTTAGCAGCTCTGGCTACCCTCCCAGTGGCTTAAGGAGGGGGGCCCTCTGGCGGAATGCCAGGGTCTTCCGGGCTGGGCCCCTCTGCTCGGGCTAACCATTCCTCCACAAGAAGCAGGATCATCAGTTTAGCATCGAGAAGCGCAGGAGCCCACGGGGAGGGCAAAGGCCAGAATTCACGTGCTCTGCAGACAAGTTGGAGAATGAGGTTTCTTATTTGTTTTTCTCATGCCCCCTCCAGAGGCCAAATGGGTAAGGGGGGGGGTTTCCTTTGCCTTCTGAGTGCCACGAATGCACCCAGCACTCACAGGACCACACACGGACGCCTGGCAGGGTGCTGGGCCCATGGGGGTATGGCCAAGCACCGTTGGGGGAAGCCTGGCTCCATTGGGATTCTGGCAACCAGCAGTGACAGGACGGACCCTTTCCTGAGAGCCACGGGTGCGCTTCTCCCAGAGTGATGGGAGAGCTGGCCTTGGACTGAAGGAAGGACCTCACGTGAGACACAACCCCCGTATCCACATGGAGGGTGGGTGAGGGGCTGCAGCTCGGAGAGGACTCGCCCACGGTCGCTGGGCTTGCTGCCAAGACAGAGGGGACAGAGCCTCCCCGTGCACTGCTCACGCACGCTCTCTCAGCACGTCGCTGCCGGGCAGAGTTCACTCCATCCTCGCTCCCTACTCGACCTTCTCAGGTGCTGGATCCTCCACGGAGGCCGGGCTGTTCTTCAGATGGACTCGCAGAACCAAACAGGCTTTCACAAGTCGGGGAGGATATAGGGAGGCTCCCTTCCTTCTGGAAGGGAAACGGGGCTAATTTTCTCTGAGCTTTGGATTTGTAAGGCACTGAAATTAACTACAGCTGAGGGCGGGGGAGAACCAAGGGAGGAGTGGTGGGAGAAATCAGGCTGCTGGTCTTTCCTCTGGGCCCCACAGTGAGAATCTGCACCAAGTCTCCATCTACTTGCTTGGTGGGGTCCACCCGCCACCTCCCCACTGCATGTCGCAGAGCAGCGTAGAGGCACCCCCCTCGCCCCCATAACTAGGCAGGCTCTGGGGACTGGAAGAGGCACGGAGGGTTGGGGAGCCAAGGACGGGCGCGGGTGCTCCGGCCTCAGTTCAGAGCGGGAGCCACTCCGCCTGGGCTGGGACAGGAGCCAGCCCTGAAACGTCTTCTCCGAGGGCACGGTCCTCGCTGAGGCGTGGGTGACGGCTGGGGTGGGTGTGCAAGCCTGAGCCGGAAGGAGGAAGGGGCAGGGCGTCACCAAGACAGCAGAGGGAACTTTGGACCTGGCTTTGGCACAGCACACTGTGGGCCGGCCTGCCTGCCCTGTCTGTTGCCCTCCGGAGACCCGGGGGAGAGAGAGAGGCACCTTCCTTCCTTCTCTCTGTGAGGGGGTGCTCCTGGCTGGCTGAAGCAATAGCGGGGGTGACTCTGGACCGTCCCCTTCACTCTGCCAACCAAATCTGGGCCCAGGTGACCTCACACGGGGCCCTCCTGGACTTGGCGCTGAACCCACAGCTTGCCAGGCAGATATGGTGCTGAGTGGGAAGCCACAGCCGGCACAGCGGAATCCTCAGGGTCCCCGGCGAGACGGCCACCGGTCCCGGATGCCCAGGGCCGGCAGGCAGGCACTGTGACCCCGTTTCAACAGATGGGCAACTGGGTTCGGAGGGGCTGGGTGACCCGGCCAGAGTCACACAGCTCATGAGGGGCTCAAATGGGAACTGGACTTAGCAACATCTGACTCCAGAGCCCACGTCCTTTGCCCTCCACTCGGCTGCCCCGGGAGCTGGAGCTAGCCATCGGGGCAGTCCGGGTGGGATTTCTGGAAGGGGTTCTTTCTGGAAGCATGGATCTGGGAGAGTAGCCAAGCTTGAGTGAAGAGAAGATGCCTCCTGGACCTGGGGACAGGGCCCCCCAACATGTCTATTTCCGGGCAGGCCCCCGCTCAGTGCCTGGCGGCCTTGCAGATCTTGTCGTACACCTCGGGGAAGGCGTCCTGGCAACCGAGGCGCTCCCGCAGCCTGTGGTACAGGGAGCCGTCGAACATCTCCCAGAACTCCTCCCGGCTCATGTAGCAGTCGGCATACAGCATCTGGAACCTGGGAAACACAGGAGGGTGAGGCTGCCCGGAGGGGAAGGGGCCTGAGAGGCCCCCATGAGTCCCTGACGGGCTGCAGGAAGCGCTCATGGAAGATTTCCCGTTTACCGCCTGCTGCCCAGGTGGGGTGGGGTGGGTGAGTGCTTACCCCCACACCCATCACCCCCAAACTTTGATCAAAGCCCTGTGTTGTCCGTTGCCCTCCACTGCTCAGGAGGCTCAGCTTTCCGTCACCGTGGACTTGGGGCTTTCACAGACCTGGAATCATACAGTGCTCCTTTCTCCTGGTTTTTTCAGTCTGCATAACTATTCTGAGATGTGTCCACATTAAGTCCATCAAGGGTTTGTTCCAGGCTGGTTTCCGAGCTATGCTGTCCTGGGCCTCTGTGTGTGTGTGGCTTTCAGTCACTGCTCCCTCCCTCCTTTGCTGTGCTCTTCCAACTCTGAGCAACAGCCCAGAACCTATCTAAAACCACATCACCATGTGCCCTGGGACGCAGAGCAGCGGTCCTGGGGCTCTGTGCCGAGCACCTGTGGGATGCTGGCGTGCTTATGGGAGGGGTGCAAGGAAGGGGGTGGGAAATCCCACCTGCAGACTTCCATAGGGTGCTTTCCAAACCAGAGGGCGACCGGGGCTCCACACTCCCTCAGCAACCAGCAGGCCTGGCTCCGGGGGGTGCCTGCCTTGACCTTCCTCTACACCCCTGGCAGCAGAGCCCTGGTGCTGGCGGCCTGGGGAAGCAGGCCACGCTCGGGGCCACTCACCCATGCACGCTTCGGACGAACTTCTCTAACTGTCGCATGCAGGACCTGGCTTCAAAGTGCTTCACACGTGGCTCCCCATAGGCTCCAATGTCGACATAGAGCTCGGCCTCGTCTCCCTTGGGGTGCACCAGGCCCGGCTGGCTGGGCAGGATGAACGGGCACAGCCAGATGGGGTAGACCTGGGTGGACCAGGGAGAGGGACATTGGTGCTTTTCCTGCAACAGGGGCCAGGCTCAGGGCGGGCCCATTCCACCCTTACCCAGGGACCCCTCCCTTTGCCTGCCCACTGCTTCACTCCCAATCCCCGAGGCTATGGCTGACAGCAGCAGCCCCCCATGCCTTCTCTCCTTTCAGGGCCACCACGGGGCAGGCCCATTTTACAGCGGGGAACACTGAGGTCCAGGGCGTCCCGCCCCCTGCTCACGTGGATGTCACTGTGGAAGGTGTGCACTGCCTGCGACAGGCATTTCATGGGCACCAGCATGTCCTGGACCACGTGGTGCTGCTCATACAGCTTGCGCAGGGTCTCGCCTTGGGTCAGCTTCAGGAGCGAGATCTTGGGAGGCACCATCCATCCAAAGAGGTAGCGGAAGACAGGGTTGTTGCCGAAGGGGATGATGTCCTGAAAGACAAAGGTTGGCGGTGGAGAGAAGGGCCAGCAGGGCCAAGGGTCCCACGGGCCAGGGCTCAGGTCCTCGCTCAGGGCTCCATGTGCATTCCTGTGTGGAGGGGAACAGTGGTGCCCAGGACTGGCCCAGCTGGGTCTGGGTTTGAGTCTCAGCTCTGGCCTGTACCTGCTGCGATGACCTTGGGCTAGTGACTTTATCCTCTTTGGGCTTAGTTTCCTTATCTGTAAAATGGGACTGGAGGGAATAACGAAATACTGCCTAGAAGGCCTGTAGCCCAGTGCTAGGAGCAAAATAAGATCACTCTAATTGTGCTGTGGAGGTCAGGGTGGCTGGCACACAGAAGGCACTTCGTCAGTGGCTGAGAAATAAATGTTACTGAACGAGAAGAGCAATTATGGGAGAGCTTAAGCAATTCCCCTAAAGTCACAGCCAAGGGCTGCTCTTATTGGCGGGGGCGGGGTGGGGGAGGAGGTCTGGCTCAGGGTCAGCCACGGGCCCACTGGTTCACAGCATCTCCCGAGGGGCCCCCTGGACTCCTGTGTAAAATGTGACGGCTCCCCACCCCTCCACGCGCAAAAACAAACTCTGTCATCTTTCAAGGGCAAGCTTGACGGCTGGCCTCCAACCCCGGGGCAGAACAAGCCACTTCTCTCCCATGCCTGTGGCCCTTCACAGCCTGCCTGCTTCCTCCAACTCAGCTTCCCCAGAGACCCTCCTAAGCAGAGGCTGTCTTCCTCTTCTGTGCTCAACCCACCACTGGGAAGGAGCCCCCTCCCTCAGCACTGCTTCTGACAATGCCCCATGCCGCCCGCCCCAACAGCGCAGACTTGGGGTCCCTTCAGTCACTATCCTCCTCCCTTGCTCCAAGCCTGTCTTTTGGAATGTAAAGGAATGCTCTTGGCTTCAAGAGGGCTACCCCACTTTTTTTTTTTCTTTTCTTAACAAGGAGTGACCTTTTTTTGTCTTAAGATTTCATTTATTTATTTCAGACAGAGAGAGCGAGCACTTGCGCATGAGCCGGGGAAGGAGCAGAGGGAGAGAGACAAGCAGATTCTGCGCTGAGCTCAGGGCCAGATGTGAGGCTCCATCTGACGACCTGGAGACCCGGACCCGGGCTGAAATCAAGGGTCAGATGCTCCGCCGACTGAACCACCCAGGTGCCCCCGAGGACATTCCTTTATTCATTAAATTAATTACGAGGTACCTATGAGGTCTGGTATGGGGTTCCATGCTGGGTGCTGGGGATACCAAAATAACCGAGACATGGTCCCTATCCCTGTCCTGAGGAGTTGAAGAGACAGGCCACACACAGGACTACAGTGGGGAAAGAGCTAGGACAAACAGACGCAGGGCCCACATCAGCCTAGGGGTCGGGATGGCTTCCCAAAGGAACCCAGGTGCTAAGCTTTGCAAGCCGAGTGACCCTCCCTCCTCTCCCCTGGGACGAGCTCTCCGACTGGCAGCACACTCCTACGAGGGAGGGACCCGTCTGCGCCTGGCCCTGCCTGGCTCTGCAATCCAGGCACCTGCACGGATGCTGGCACATGACCGGAGGACACTGTGTAGCTCGGCTTTTATTGTTTCCTCGCTTGTTTTTGGAACAGCCACACACACCCACAGTAGAAATCCCAGCCATCCAAAGGTCAGGCCTCCTCTCACATCCTCCCTGTGTACCCCCTAGTCCTGACCCTACTTCATTCTTCCCCAACTCAACTTCTGTCCCCTCCCCAGAGGCAGCCGTTGTTAGGAATGATCTGTGTCCCTTCCTAGAGACACTCGCTGCGTTGACGCGCGGGTGGGCGTAGAGACCGACAGCTCACAAGTGGCGGCATCTCACAGCCTCGTGCTTCTCCCCTCCTCCTGTGCCTCGGTGCATTGCCAGTCAGCACACGCTTGGTCGTGGGTGCCACCCCTGCTCTGCGGGGACCCACATACCACAGCTCCTGGGACAAATCTGGTCCACGAATAAAGCCCTGCTAGGACACAGCCATGCCCCGGCATTTCCGTGCTGTCTGTGGCTGCTTCCAGGCTGTAAGGGCAGAGTGGCCCCTGGAGAGACCTCACGGTCCACAAACCCCTAACGGTCATTTGGCCCTTTCCAGTGTGCTGATCATTGCCCTCCTGTGTGGATGGACCCTGCTGACTTAATCAGTTCTGTACGGATAAGCATTTAGAGGATTTCAGACTATTCCAGTGAGTATCCTTTCTACATGTGTCTTAGCCTAAATTCCTAGAAGTGGAAAATTCTGGTTCAAACCCTGTGTGCCATTTTAATAGGTTATCTCAAGAACGGGTGACAGGGCACACGCTCCCACACGACACCAGGGGGCGCTGTTTCCCCACGCCCAGGCCAAGCGGTGTTGTCAAACTTCTGCCTCGTGGCCACCCTGCAGGTGAAAACTGGGATTCTGGCAGTTTTGTTTGGCCTGGCTTTAATGGAGTGAGACCTGTCATCTCTCTCACGTTTAAAAGCCATTTATATGTTTCTCTTTAAAACAGTTGTTAGCCAGAAGTATCAGCTAGAACCATTCCTTTTCCAGAATCTCAACTCAGAAAAGTTCAAGTGTTTAACAGTGAGCCCCGCCCTCCTCCTTTCGCTCCTGTCTGCCCCATGATTCGTCCCTCTGCCTCTGAGTGACCTCAGGCCCCGTGTCCCTGGCTTCAGTTCCAGTCTCTTGCTCTCCTCTGCCTTTGCAGTTTACCTGTGTCCAGCCTGCTCTGCTCTGTGGGATCCCACGACAGATTCAGGGGGCCTGGCCGGAGCCAGGCCCCCAAACCCCAAAGGCAGGCCCCATGGCAATGGCATTCGAAGAAACCTGAACCACCAAGATCCCTATCTAACACTTCCTCCTGGTGCTACTTCCCTGTATTAGCCAACCACTTATGCTGGCTGGAAAGGAGGATGTAAAAGGGAAAGGAAAGAGGGGGCTGCTCAGAGTCCTCTTTCTCTTCAGTCCTGGCTTACTCACCAGTAAGCCACGCTAGAGTGTTGGTAGAATGTGAATGTAACCAGGAAGGGAGATAAACACAACTGAGGTAGTTTCGTGCAGCACCTCCACTAGGCCACTAGGAATGAAACACATTCACGTGAAGAGCTCAATCCTCCTATACTTCTACTGAAGGGATGAACAGTAAATTTGTTCGAATAATTTAAATTATTTTCTTGGGGGGCACCTGGGTGGCTCAGTGGGTTGAGCCTCTGCCTTCAGGTCAGGCCATGATCCCAGGGTCCTGGGATCGAGCCCCGCATCCGTCTTTCTGCTCAGCAGGGAGCCTGCTTCCCCCCCACCCTGCCTGCCTCTCTGCCTACTTGTGATCTCTGTCTGTCAAATAAATAAACAAAATCTTTAAAAAAAATCATTTTCTTTACTTAGAACATTAAATAGCAAATTTAAGAGGGACTCTCGTAGTATCTTTGACAGTACTCTTTCCCTACTTTTTGCATTGGGCCCTGCAGATCACATGGCTGGCCTTGACCCTCCCCCCACATATTGCTGATTAACTGAACTGGGTGAAGGAAGGCCTGGCCCTGGAGTGACAGGATTGGATGAGAGGTTCAGCACCTGTGGCTGATTAAAGGGTGGATTCAGCACGGAGGAACCAGGGTGGAGGGCTGCCTGAGGGAGGAGAAGTTAACCCCCGGGGAGGGGGGAAAGGCATGTACTTGACATCGTCTTCTTTGTAGAAGTCTGGGCTTCTGCAACTCTACTGTGGTGGATGCTGTGGTGCTCCGCCCGGATGCCCTGTGTGCAAATCTTAGGTGTAAGACACCCATCCTACCAGACTCTTCCTTTCACCTCGGGCAGGACAGCCAGTGCTTCGAGGCACATAAATAGAAGACAAACCTCATTATGAATCCTAGCTCTGTGGTTTAAAAAAAAAAACACAAATTCTTACTCCTGAAACCAATACTACACTATAATGTTAACTAACTTGAATTAGAAAAAAAACAACAAAACACCCACAAATGCTTTGCTACTCCTTTCTTCAAAGAGGGTGGAGCCTGATTTGCCTTGCCCTGATGCGAGCTGGACTTGCTCTAACAAGCGGTGGATGGCAAGGCTGGCAGAATGTGAGGAGACAGGCCCTGTAAGGCATTGGGGCTCCTCCTCGGTCTCTCTCCTGGACGCCTCCCGCCGCCCTGTCCTGAGGACACTCGAGCAGCCCACATGGTGAGGAACAGAGGCCTCTTGTTAACAACCGTGTGAGAACTTTCTGGAAAACAGATCATCCCCTCGAAAGCCTCCAGATGACACTGGACTACAGCCCTGAGCTGGAGCCACCCACATTAGTTCCGCCCCCCAATCCCTGACAATCAGAAAACTGTGAGATAACAGAAAATAATAAAAATAAACAGTTGTTTCAATCCCCTAACTTTGGGATAGTTCATTATGCAGCAAGTTATAATTACACTTGATCTCTTTCTGAGTTGTGTTACTTTGGACAACCTAAGCCTCAGTTTTCCCCATCTGTAAAATGGAAAAGACACAAGGATCCACCCTCCTGGGGCTGTTAGGAAGTTTGAGATAATGCGTGTATGTTTGGCATAACAGCTAACATGCAAAGCGATTACTGTGTCCTACTGTTACCTTTCCGATGTTCTTCTCGGGGTCCCTTGCTGGTCCTCTGGCTCTTCCTGTCCCTTAAATCATCTTCTTGCTCCTGACAAAAGCACACCTCCCACAATCCTAGCACTGCTCTTGGCAAGCACAGAGACGGAACCAGGTCTTTTGCATTTGGCAAAATGCCCACCACTGACAGTGGCCAAGGGAGCTCACCTGCGGGAGGGGGGGGCGGGTCCCGAGCTCCCAGGCGCTGATGAGCCCTCCACCCCCTACTCCTCCATCCCCTCACCACAGCCCCACCACTTCGGCCTGTGAGACGTGGCCCAGAGTTAGGACAGATCACCTTCTCCGAGGAGATGGCCAGCTCTAACTCCTTCATGCCCGTCAGTCGTGTTTAACCTGGTCGTCACGGCTTCCAGGTGCCCAGTGACCTACCGTGATGCAACACGTCTTAGTCTGACTCCACCCGGCCCTGTCCCCTTATCTCCCAAGCTGTCTTCCATGTCCTCGTGGTGTGACATCAGCAAAACCCCTCTATCCTCAGTCTCTTCGCTCGACATTGTCTCCTTCTGCCTGCTCTTAGCTGGGCCCTGGTTGGGTCCTGCAGGCCTCACTGCCATCATTTCCTCTCCCACGACTGTCTGGGGTGGATGGAGGCGGGGTGCGGGGGGGGGGGGTCCTCCTGCTACCTCCTCGCTGCTTCTGGCTTGCTGTTCCTCTCCTCAGCAACTTTGGTGCAAGTTGTACAACATGACCAATGCACTAAATACCACTAAATGGTACACTTTAAAAGGTTATTTCTAGGTTACAGGACATAGGAAAAAAAGAACCCAGGTAGCCTTGTTGAGGACACATGCTCTGGCTCTTCCTCTGCCTGGCTCATCCCCCCACACCCGCCCCTGCCATGTTCAGGTCCCTGTGCACAAGTCACCCCCAGAGAGGCCTTCTCTGTCGTCCCTCTTTAAAATGTCACTGCACCTCACCCCGCCACGCATAACAGCAAATTCTTGCTCACCTTTCAAAGCCAAGCTTGACGGCCACCTCTGACCTTAGGCAGAACGAGCCGCCTCCCCTTCTAGTTCCTGTGGCCCATCACTGTGTCAGGGCGTGTCGGCTTGGTCAGGCTACCGTACCTCAAGGGCAGAGCACGTGTGTGTGTGCCCAAGCACCTGGCCCTTGTCCCAGCACGGAGCAGCCGTGCTGGGACAGGCTGCTGTGTTCAAGTGAAAGCGGTCTGCTCCCCTCGGAAGGAGAGGACTGTGGTGTCATGTCCATGGGCACTCCCGGTCCTCGGGACAGGGCTGCTCTTGCCCTCAGGGAGGGAGTGCGGCCACAGTGCCAGCTGCCCTGGTTCCCTGACCGTCCGGCTGGGAAACCCGAGCCTCACCTGGAGCTCCCAGAAGATGCTGCGCGTGTGGCGGTGGTAGTAGTGTCTCAAGGGAATGTACTCCAGGCCCTCCCGGTTCGTCTTCAGGTAGTTCTCCACGTGCTTGAAGAACCAGGGCTTGTAGTAGTTGCCAATGCTGTTCAGCTGAAATGACAGAGGGCGTGGTGTCAGCCCACAGATGACGGCCAGGGGCCGGAACGGTGATACCCAGCTTCGGTTCAGCACCCCTGGCCTTTCCAAAGCTTTCGTGTCTGTCACCACCCTCGGGAGTCCTGAGGTCCTGGGGAGGCTGAGCACCATGGGCACTCTCTCGCAGAGCGAGGTTTCGTGGTGAGCCCAGGGCCGGCAGCTGCCAAAGGTCTAGAGAGCTCAACCACCCCTCCCACTCAGGGACAGAACCCAGAGGGACACCTCCCCTCCCACCCCCCTTCACCAAGTCCCGTGGCCAGCAACACTAACTGACATGGCACTTCCCCTGCCGAGACCAAACCCCACGACCCTCTGGGTGCTATGTCCCGGCAGGCAGCTCCCCCACCCGCAGAGGAAGCTCCCAGAGTGAACCTAACGCTTCCTGGCACCAGGCCCCCCGGCTTCCAATGCCTAAATCTGATAATGAGACAGCCTTCAGTCCCAAACGGTTCAGGACTTCACCTGCTGGGGGCCCCGGCCTGACTTAGCCCCTCTGGGCCTCAGGGTTCTCGTGAATGGAACGAATTCCGGGCAGGTGCCTTTGGAGAGAGGCAGAGCTCCAAAGCTGGGGCCCGACCCTGGCCCCTGTCACCCACTGGCTCTGTGACCTGAGGCCGGTCACTCTCTCAGCCTCTCTTTTCACATGTAAAATGGCAATAAAACTATAGACTTTGGGGGAGGTATTCTGTGCCTATCAGAACTCACACACACATGCTGCAGACACTCAGACCCCACATCAGACCACCTTCCCGGGGGTGGGAGAGGCTCCCGAGTTTGATGGGGCAGGTGAGATCACACCCAGCCGGGCAGCAGCACCGGGTGAAGTGGGAACCGAGAGCAGCGGCCACGTGGCAGAGGCCGGATGCTGCCGCAGAACCATCGGGGAGGTCAAGGCAGGAGCAGAGGCAAGATGAGCTTTCCCAGCATAGCTCATGGAGGAGACTAATCACACCAACACACTCCTTCACGGGCTGGTGCTGGGCACTGTGTCCCTTTCACAACCTTGCAAGTCATAACTGTCCGTGTCTCCCGAGGAGGAGGAGGAGGCGGAGAACCATCAGGGTTGAACAGAGCGCCCGAGGCCACCCGGCTGCCAAGGGGCAGGGCAAGGACTCAAGCCTGTTCCACGTTGCACAACAAGGCCAGGGCTGGGCAGTGGGGAGCTTGAACCATGCGCTCTGGAATGTGAGCATTATTAAAACAAAAAACAAAGAACAATCACTATTTTCTCCCGATTCCAAAAACAAAGTAAACGCCTCGTGGGAACTTCAAATGCTGCAGAAATACGCAACTTGGCAGGAGAGACCTTGCAGCCTTGTGCTCCAGCGTAACTACTAACGCCGATGGGTACCCAGGAGGTTTTCTTTTCTGTGCATTCACATGGTTTTATAAACATGAGATCGTCCTGCGCAGTTTGCGGACTCGCTTGTCCTACAACACACGGGGCTGGTGCTGGGCAGGCCACTCTGAGCCCTGCTTTCAGTACAGGCGAAATGGAGCTATTCCCAGCCCTGGAGTGGCTGCAGAGACCAGAAAAGCCGACGAGGAAGGTGCCCACCATGGCGCCTGCCCCCTGGGCATAGGGGTCAGTTCCCAGCCCCCTCCCCGTCCCCTCCCCCAGGAGCCTTTGGCCCCATCTCCGGGAGCAACACTCCAGCCCCTCTGGGTGTCCCCTTGTGCAGCAAGCCACTATGCTGGCAGGAATCTGGGGCCACGAGGTGCCAGGAAGCTGGGCTAAAGAGCCTGTTGGTGCAAGTCTGTTTGAGTGCGGCTAGCGTGGCAGAGCAAAGGACACTGTGTGCTGGCCTCTGCCCGCTGGTACAAGGACAGTGAAACCCAACAGGAGCAGAGCCACCTGATCTAACCCTGGGGGAGGGGGGACTGGCTGAACACCTGGCCATGGCACCAGCTGCATAACGGTATTGAGGCTGAGGCGTACCTGGATTCAGGCGCTCCCCGTGCTCCTCAGACTCAGTAGGAACCTTCATACCGACAAGCCCAGGAGATGCTAAAGAACCCAGATCGTGCGTCTCTCCCAGGGCTCAGGTCCGCTGTGGCAGCCAGGTGGCCTCGTGAGCTGCAGGTCCAGCCTGAGCACTCAGGGAGCACGCCACTCCTTAGCTCTGGGCCTCCCCTGTACATGGGAGTGGGCTGCCTCCCCCAGCGGCTCCTCTGGGCCTGCAGAGGGCCCGTCCCAGGGCCGGACACACCGGACAATTCCCAAGCAACCCCCCCAAGAGGGCTGTTTGGAAGACACGCTCCTCAAATGAGCTGTCCATACATCTAATGCATCTGCCACTCTCTTCCCCTAGCCCTGTTCCTGATGGGTGTCAGGACACTTTGTACAAGTCTGCAGCCTGGGCACCCAGCCCCTGTCCCACTGATACCAAGTGAACCCTGGAGTAAGACCTTGGTCTTCTAGGGCAATAAGGGAATTGGTTACGGTGTTCCAACATTTAACAAGTTATAGAAACCCTGCTGCCCAACTATGACCTTAAGCGGCATCTAATAGAGCCAACAGGCCCCCAAAGAGCCAGTACAGTGGGGGATGAGTACAGGGAGCGGCCCCTCTAAGGGACTGCCTGGGAGAAGGTAGAAAGACATCTGTACTAGATGTCCTTCCCAGGCGACCAGGTACTAGGTGACCCGCCCTGACGCCTCAGCCTGGGTCAGGCAGAGCCAGGGCCTGGGGTGTGACTCGGCACAGGGGCTCTGTGTCCATATCCAGTGTTTCTGCTCCTGCTCCAGGATCCCCACCCTCCAGCCCCCACCACAGTGCCCCACCAGGACAGGTCCTCAGTCCGTGCCTGTGAACGCTGCTGGGTTATAGAAGCTGATGTGCCAGGGAACTAACACTGACCTAGAGGTCAGAGACCTGTCCCCTGCTAGCCGTTGAGTGCTCAGGGAAGTCTCGTCCCCGTCCTGGCCTTGTTTCCTTATTTAGAGACGGAATTGTACCAGACGATTTTCAAGTCCTTTACAATTTTAAAAGGTTTTAAGTATACAGGTATAGATCAAGAGCCTTAAGAGTACCTAGCCTTTGACGTACTTTAAGATAGTACTCCAATTACAGACAAAAGATGTTCATGGCCACCTTAATTAAAACAAGGAAAGACTGGGGTGCCTGGGTGGCTCAGTCGGTTAAGCTTCCGACTCTTGGTTTTGGCGGCGGTCATGATCCCGGTGTCATGAGATTGAGCTCTGCACTGGGCTCTGTGCTGGGCATGGAATCTGCTTAAGATTCTCCCTCTCTCTCTCCCTCTGACCCCACCTTGCCGTTCGCTCTCTCTATAAAAATAAATAAAAGAAAAAGGAAAGACTAGAAGCAACATGTATTTCCAACTACAGGGCCATGGTTTCGTAAATGCTAGGGCATTCGCTCAACACAGTGCTCTGCAGTCATTAACTGACAGTTTTGAAGGCCATGTAAACCTGTGGGGAGACGAGGACCACCCTTGACCGGAAAATGCAAATTTGAACAGACGGTCACAGCCGAAGACAAACAAATGGAAAAAAGCATGTAAAGAGATGCTCAAACCTCAAAGGTGACCTGAGAACCGCAAAGAAAACGCAATGCTATTTTTAACCCTATCAGATTGGCAAAAATGAAGGAGTGATCGTATCCAGCACTGGCAAGAATGTGGGAGAAACGCACTCTCCCATGCCGTCGCAGGACGTGGGCAGAAGCACCACTGTTCTGAAGGGCTCTTTGGGGGTCACTCTTGGGTGCGCACCATGCTCCGATCCTTAAGACAGGAATTCCAATTTTTGGACTCAGTCCCACAGATGTGCTTGCCCAAGAGGCCAAAGATGGATGTCAAAGAATCTTCAACGCCATCTTATTTGTAAGAGTGAAACATCTGAGGCACGATCAATGATTGTCAGGAAGCAATGGGTTAGGTCAGTTACACAAAGGCCAACACGAGACATGTGGGAGGAGAGGAGGGCGTGCCCACGCGTGCACACACACACCCTGAGGAATGTGCCGTTACAGGTGGCTACTCTGTGGGTGAGCCTGGGGGATGGGACCCACTTTAACTTTTCCCTTATGTATTTCTAGGTTGTGACACCACTTTCATCATTTAAAAACTTTCACGTATGCCCTGAAAAGAGAGGAAATAAATACACCCAAGAGCCGGCCTTGGGTCATGTTTGTTGGTACAGTCTTCTTTCCTTTTACTCAGGTATACTTGCCAAGTCCCTCATAAACACAAATCCTTTCACACGAGAGGAAAAAGCTGCTACTGAAAAGTATACCCAACAAAGAAGTGTGAGGCCTCAAATCCATTGTGCAAACCTTGGTCCTGTCATCTCGTGGAAGTATAAAGCACCTCTTAGGGCCTCAGTTTCCTCATCTATAAAATGGGGTTGCCACAAGGATCAAAGTTTACACCTACCAAGAAGCACACACGTATCTGGCAGACCTTCAGTGCAGAGACAACGGATGCTTCCATCCCCGTCTAAGACATCTCTGACTGTAGATCCGAGGCCCCAACCCCAGATGGGCCAACTGAGACCACCACTTCAAAGAACATGGCTTCTAGGCAGGGCAGGGTGGGGGAAGAGGCTCAGCCCCAGCACCCCCCGGGCCTTCCTCCTCCCTAGGCCTTAGCCCTTGGCTGGAGATGCCCTGGCCTACCTTGCTGGGCTCTGCTTCATCTGTCATGACCCCGGTCATGATGACAGCCTCATCCAAGGAGTAGAGCAGCCCTTCCACGAAGTGATTCTCCTGCCGCTGCGATTCCTGGGTGAACTTGTCGCAGATAGCCTCCAGGCCCCGCACCGGCTCAAACCGCAGCCTGACGTACTTCTTGGCGGGGATGATGCGGATCTCGGCAGCCACCAGGAAGCCCAGGGTCCCACAGGACCACGGCACCGCGTAGAACAGGTCCGAGTTCTCTGACTAGGAGGCAGAGCCAACACATGCTGAGAGTCCTCACCCCCGGGCCCCGCGGTGGGACGCACAGTCAACGGAGCTGCAGAGACCCCAAGGGCCCCAGCTTATTTCCTTCCCTGTCACTGGCTTGTGTAAACCCTAGCAAGGAACTTCAGAAACAGGACTTTCTGGGCCTGTGTTCCCTCTGCAGCTTCAACTGTCCTCTGGACCAGGGATGCTCACGGAAAGGGCAGCCTCTCCCCTCCACCCAGGTACAGTCCCTGGACCCCAGGCCACCCAGGAAAAGGCCAGGACCAGCACTGCCTGAAGAGCCAAAAACAGGGAACGAAGGGCCAAGGGTCCCAGGCCGGGCTAAGAAAAGAGCTTCCTGAGGGTCAAGGTCAGTTGGGGACATTAGATGGGCCATTACTAAAACTTATAAGCCTTTTACAGTTCATTAGCTGTGGCATCCTCCCTCTGTCCCCTAAGCCCAGGGAGAGCACTAACATTTCCACGTGAATGAACAGTAAGGAAAGTGAGGCTCTAAGAGGTGACATGGCTCCCCCCAAGCGTCCCACAAGTCTGCACAGGGGGACCAAGGCTCAGGCAAGGTCGCCTAACTCCCAACCCAGCATTCTTCCTGCAAGACCTCATCTGGTTCCACAATCTGTTTCTAACCTTATCATTTCTTGTTCTGGTATTTGTCTTAGAGACAGACAACCAACTTTTCATCTGGCCATTCTCATTTAGGTTCTGTGGGTCTAACAAAGCTCCTTTTGGAAAAGTCTAGCCTCCCCTGGCCCTTCCCCAAGAGGACAGTCCGCTGTGGTCTCTGTTCACGCTGCACACCTTGGTGCAGCTACAGTGGAGTGCAGGGGTGGGGGCGGGGGACTGGATCTGGGAAGCTCTGCAGCAGGCTGGCAGAAGTCTCCGGAACAGCAGACGTGAACCATCTGGGCCCCCCCTTCCCGACCACACTGTCGGAGAGGAGTAATAAGTGGGTGTCTGCCAGGTGCCCAGCTCTGTGTTGGGGGCATATGGCATCTCCTTTCTCCCTGAAAGTGAGTTTGTCAGATGAGGAAAATGGGCCTCAGGGAAGGGACGTCACACATGAATGTTCGTCTCCTTTCTCTGCTGGGAATAAACAGGTCAGAAGGCAGGGCCCAGGCAAGGGTTTAGGAAAATGTGCTGAATCGCTGTGAATCCTGAATGGGGGTCTCTCTTGTCTGATACCTGGGCTCTCAAGCCTGCCCTGGGCTCTCTTCTGTGAGACCAACCACCCTGGTGGCTCTCTAAAACATCTTGCAAAGAGTAACTCTGTCCCTGCCACCCAGGGGCCCTTTAGCTATGCTCAGAAATCTGAGTTTGTTGCAAGTTTCCATCCTGTCCCACTCACTAGGGTAAAATGCCTTACATGTTTGCATCCCCCTTTGGGCAGCAGAATTATCGTCTGTTTCTCCAAAAGAGCCCCTCTTCCTGCTTTGAGTTACGTTTCCCAATACTTGGCTTAGAACTCTGTGGCTCACACCCGATGTGCCCGAGGGAGGCAGACTGCTGTAATAAATGTCTAAGGCATTGATCTGGGAGCCTAACAATTTGGGTTTGAATCCCAGCTGTGTGGATTTCCTAGCTGTGTGATCTTGGGCAGGTTTATTACCTCTCTGTGTTTTAACTTCCTATCTCTAAAATGTGGCTAATAATAGAACCTCATAAAATTATTCAAGGATTAAATAGCTTAACATACAGGAAGCATTTACAACAGTATCTGAGCACATATAAGGGGCTGTATCAATCTTTGTTATTATTATGGATACAGACCCCGACCGAACTGGTGTGTTTGAAAGGAAGCATCCCCAAGGTCCCTACCTCCCCAGCCCCAGGATCCTTGATACCCAAGGCAGGCTGGTGGGGTCGTCCCCTATCTCTGAACTCACCGGTGTGCATCGCACAAAGCTTCCATCGGCCAGGACCAGCTCATAGGCCGTGCAGATGTGTTGGAACAGGCCATATTTGTGGGATGATGACTCGATGCCTGTGCCCATGATCAAGCCCCCTGCAGAGATATGCGTGTTAGCCAGGCAGAGCCATGGGGTGCAAGGTCAGGGGGGCTCGGGTAAAGGAGCTGGGGTTGCTCATAGCACGAGGAAGGTGTGACAGGGCCAGTCACTTGGGGTAGATTTCCATCTCTGTGGATCTGGAGAGCAGGAGAGGGAAGGAGGCACTCAGACAGGAGCCTGGTGGCTTCCCTGAGGTAGGGAGGCCGGTGAGAGAGCATGTCAAGGGTGCTCACACCCTCACTTCTAGCCAGAACCCGCCTCAATGCCTGCGTGCATTCATCTTAAGAGGGACCTTGATGAAATGGGGTTGGGGGGGGAGGGGCAGGAAGCTGTGTCTCGTGGGAACAGTTCCAGGAACTGGAAGTGTTCCCCCTAGAGAAGGAAAGGCACTGGGGACCATGAATCCTGTGGAAATAGAGACAGACTAGACTTATTCTGTGTGTTCCTTAAGGCAGAAATGGGAGTGATGGACATATGTCACGGAATGTAGATTCGCACCAGAGAGGTGCTGCCTGAGGTCAGAAAGGCAGGCAGCCTATGCCCTGTCTTCGGAGATGGGTGAGCAGAGACAGTAACTTCTGTCACAGAGGGAATAGCGGTGGCCCTCACACCGACAGGAGGTGGGCCACAGTGCCTCAGCTCTGACCCTTGGCCCATCTTGAGTCCTCACCCACTGTGAGGTCATCGAGCTCGGGCAACACGGGCAGCGTCCAGCCAATGGAGGTCAGCAGGGCAGTCACCTGACCCATGGTCACCAAGGGCTCCACACGGACAATCTGTTGACACAAGAAGAGAGACCCTGGGTCACTGGGAGGCAGCCAGGGCTACTGGGGGCCTCTTCACACAGAAGAGGTCACCCCAGATCTTCCCACATGATCACGCAGGATTCCTATGTGCTCCTTGCAGCCTCTTGCTAGAACACGACACTGCCTTTCATTATAGTGAATGCGGTTTCTGGTGCTGAGTCTGCTAGGGTTTGACCTTGTTCTTTCAAGTATCTTTACACCTAATACTTAGTTTATGTCTCTTCCAGACTATAGAAGAAATACTGTCTTATTGATGACATATATGAAGTCATCATTCTACTTCTTCCTGTCATCTTAGCGGTCAGTGTTAATGCTGGAGTGTCCTTACGTTCAGGCTCTTTCCATCCATGCCTAAATTGTTATTTTGTATGTTGTAATATAACACACACATGCATACACACACACATAAATTCAAGCACACATATGCATACCTTTCTGCTTTGCTTTGTAAAATTTAACCCCATAACCATATCCCTTACCATGGAATATTCTTGAAAGCCACAACTTTTAATGGACACTTCCATGTGCCAACATGTGGACTTCCACTCCTAGCTAACACGGAGCAACAGGGACTCCATTCCTCTTGCTGCCCGAAAGCAAGAACTGACAAAATGAAACAAGAGTTTTCAACATAGCAGGCATCAGGCAATGAAGTTAATGACTGCTGAGAGACAGGAAACAAACGAGGGGAGCTCTGTGAGCGCCTGGGCTGATTCCCTGGAATCAGGCAGTGCAGGGATCCTGGAAAGGCAGGGGAGCCCAGAGGACTCTGGGAGGAGTGCAGCAGCAGACCACGGTGAATAGAGTTTGCAGAACAGAACACTGGGGAGGAGAGACCTGAACAGAGAAAACTCTGAAACACTGCAAAGGATGCCCACCGAGCATTTAACACAACACCGGCTGGAGTGTACACTGAAGCCAAGGCCAGGGGAAGGATCACAGAAAACAGGGCCAGGGGCTCACCCAGGGAAGGAAAGACTATCTGTTCTCACATGCCAGACTGGAAAACCTCTTGGTTCATAAGGCAATGGGTAGAGTATGATCTTGCCTCAGCAATGGGGAATAACTACCCCTAGATTAGACACTCCTCTGACCTCACCTGAAAAATCAAGACCCAACAGGATCAGACTATTTCCCAGTAACAGAGCTGTGTCCCAGAACAAAGCTCAAGAAGATTTATAGAATACAAAAATACCCAGCACCCAACAAGATGAAATTCACAATGTCTAGAATCCAATCAAAGTTTCCCAGGTATGCAAGGCAGGAACAGTTGACTCATAATGAGGAAAACTGATCTGTTTTGGTAAAATTTTTTTATTTATTTTGATAAAATAGGCCCAAATTTGACAGAGATATTAAAATTAGCCAAAAAGAACATTAAAATAATAATTATAAACCCATAGTTATAGGATACATTCCCCATATTCAAAAAGGTAAGTGGAGACATTAAAGTAAGATAGTAAAAAGCACCATTAAGATAGCAAAAAGAGGGGCGCCTGGGTGGCTCAGGGGGTTAAAGCCTCTGCCTTCGGCGCAGGTCATGATCCCAGGGTCCTGGGATCGAGCCCCACATTGGGCTCTCCACCCAGCGAAGAGCCTGCTTCCCCGCTCTCTCTCTCTGCCTACTTGTGATCTCTGTCTGTCAAATAAATAAATAAAAATCTAAAAAAAAAAAAAAAAAAAGAAAGTAAAAAAATCCTAATCAAACTTCCAGAAATAAAAACAGCGTCTGAGATGAAAGACACACTAGCTGGGATTGACCTTGCTGGAGGAAAGAGCAGTGCACCCAAGCACATAGCAATTGAAACTCTCCTAAAGGAGACACACAGAGAAAGAAAAAATGTTTACAATTTTTATAGGCTATCCATGATCTGAGCTGTGGAACAATTCCAAGAGGTCTCATATGTGTGCTACAGTCCTCAAAGGAGAGAGAGCAGGGGGCAGAAAAAATACTTGAAGAAATAATGACCCCACATTTTCCAAATGCAATGCAAAGTATAATGAATCCCAAGCACAAGAATTAGGAAAAAAATGACACCAAGGCACATCATGATAAAATTTCTCAAAACCAATGATAAAATCTTAGAAGCAGCCAAAGGGTCAGAAGACACGTTACATACAGAGGAACAAAGATAAGGATGAGAGGTTTCTTTATGGAAACAATGCAGGAAAGAAGACAGTGAAGCATCTTTAAAGTACAGGGGGGAAACCCCGTCAACCTGGAATTTCATACCCAGTGAACACAGCTCTCAAAAACGAAGTCAAGCTCAAATACATTAGGATAGATTATCAAAAAGCCAAACAGACAAAAACCCAGAAAATAACAAGTGGAAATGAAGATGTGGAGAAATTAAAACCCCCATGTCCTATTCGTGGGAGAGTAAAATGATCCACCTGCTGTGGAAAACGGTGTGGTGGATCCTCAAGACAGATTACACACAGAACTACCACATGGTCTAGCAATTCCACTCTGGCGTATATACCTCAAAGAGCTGAAGGCAGGGCTCGAAAAGGTATTCATACATCCACGTCCACAGGAGCACTATTCAAAACAGCTAAAACGTGGGAACAACCCAATGTCCGCCTACAGATGAATGGATAAGCAAAATGTGGTACATATACACAATGGAATATTGTTCCACCTTAAAAAGGAAGGAAATTCTGTAATATGCTATCACATGGATGAACTCTGAAGCTATTAAGCAAAGTAAGATAGGCACAAAAAAACAAATACTGTAGGATTCCACTTAGAGAATACTTAGGGTCGTCAGAATCATAAAGACAGAATCTGTAACGGTGGTCGCCCAGGATGGGGATGAGAGGAGAATGGAGAATTATAGTTTAATAGATACAGAGTTTCAGTTTTACAAAATGAAAAGAGCTATAGGAACAGATGGTGGGGAGGGCTGCACAGCACTGTGAATGTATTTAATATCACTTAAGAAATGTGCACTTAAAAATGGTTAAGATGATTGGGGAGCCTGGCTGGCTTGGTTGGTGGAGCATGTGACTTTGATCTCGGGGTCGTGAGTTCAAATCCCATGCTGGGCGTGAAGCCTACTTTAAAAAAAAAGGTTAAGATGAGAAATTTCATGTTACATGTAGTGTCTCAAAATAAAAGTTGGAAAAGATATGGAGGCAAAAAAAGAATGTCTTCAGACATTTAATAGCTAAAAGATTCATCCCTAGCAAAATCGCCATACAAGAAATGTCAAAAGAGTCCCTTCAGGCAGAAGGAAAATGAAACCAGATGGAAATACAAATCCACACAAGAGAATGAAGAAATGGTAACTACATAGGTAAGTGCATAAGATTTTTTATTATTTATATCTCCTTAAAAGATATTGGACTATCAAATAATAATGCACTGTGTGGTTTACAACATATAAAACTGCGACAAAAATAGCACAAAGGTGGGGAGGAAAGAACAGGAAGTATATTACTGTAAGATTCTTAAAATATACATGACATAGGATGCTACCACTTGAAGATAGACTGTGATAAGTGAAATGCAAACTATAAATCCCAAAACAACTGCTAAAAGAACAAAATAAAGTCCCAGCTATTCAGCCACCAAAGAGCTAAAATAGGATTTTGAAAATTATTTAGTAATCCAAAAGAAGACAGAAAAAAAGAAAAAGGGAACAAAGCACAAAGGGGCAAATAGAAAACAAAGAACAGGGGTGCCTGGGTGGCTCCATTGATTAGGCATCCAACTCTTTTTTTTTAAAAAAGATTTTATTTGAGGAGGGGAGGAGGGAGAAGGAGACTCTCTGCTAAGCAGAGAGCCCGATGTGGGGCTCGATCCCAGGACACTGAGATCATGACCTGAGCCAAAGGCAGAGGATTAACCCACTGAGCCACCCAGGCGCCCCAAGCATCCAGCTCTTGATCTCTGCTCAGGTCTTAATCTTAGGGTCTGGCGTGCTGGGCTCCCAACTGGGTGTGGAGCCTGCTTTAAGAAAAACAGAACAAGGTGACAGATTTGAGCCAAACTTTTTTGATAACAACATTAAATGTAAATGTGTGTGGTTTTTTTGTTTGTTTTTAGAGAGAGTGTGAACAGGAGCAGGGGTGCAGAAAGAGAAGGAGAGACTCTCAAGCAGACTCTGTGCTGAGTGCAGAGTCTGACACGGGGCTGGGTCTCATAACCCTGAGATCAGAACCTGAGCCAAAATCAAGAATTGGACGCTCAACCGACTGAACCATCCAGGTGCCCCTGGAAATGGTTTTAACATCTTGATTAAAAGGCAGAGATTGTCAGATTGTATTAAAAAGCAATACCTAAGCATATGCTGCCTACAAGAAACAATATAAAGGTTCACCATACCACCACTAGTCTAAAGATAGCTGGAGTGGCTTTATTAATAATATCAGACAAAGTAGATATCAGAGCCAAGAAGATAACTAGGAATGAAACCAGTCATTTCATAATGGTAAAGGGATTCATCAAGAGGACATAAAAATCCTAAACATTTATATACCTCTTAACAGAGCCGCAAAAGACATACAGCAAAACCAGATGGAACTACAAAAGAAATCAATCCACAATCACAGGCAGAGATTTCAATACCTCTTTCTTTAAAAAAAAAAAAAAAAAAAAAAAAAATATATATATATATATATATATATATATATATATATAAAATCTGTTGTCTTTTTTTTTTTTAAAGATTTTATTTATTTATTTGACAGACAGAGATCACAAGTAGGCAGAGAGGCAGGCAGAGAGAGAGAGGAGGAAGCAGGCACCCCGCTGAGCAGAGAGCCCGATGCGGGGCTCGATCCCAGGACCCTGGATCATGACCCAAGCTGAAGGCAGAGGCTTTAACCCGATGAGCCACCCAGGCGCCCCTAAAAAATATTTTTAATGAATTTTATTTATTTGACAGAGAGACATACAATGAGAGAGGGGACACAAGCAAGGAGAGTAGGAGAGGGAGAAGCTGGCTCCCCGCTGAGCAGGGAGCAGGGAGCCTCATGCAGGGCTCGATCTCAGGACCCTGGGATCATGACCTGAGCGGAAGGCAGATGTTTAATGACTGAGCCACCAAGACACCCCTCAATACCTCTTTCAATCATTGACAGAACAGAGAGAAAATCTATTATCAACCACCTTGACCATAGCGGACATTTACAGTACACACCATTCCGAAACAGCAGAATATGCATTTTTTAAAAATGCACATGGAACATTTACCAAGACAGACCATATTCTGGGCCAAAAAATAAGTCTCAGTAAGTTGAAAAGTATTCTGATCATAAAAAGTATGTTTTCTAACAATAACTGAATTAAATTAGAAATCGGCAATAGAAAGATCTCTGGAAAATTCCCAAGTATTTGGAAACTGAATAACATGCTTCTAAATAACCCATGGGTGAAAACAATGTCAAAAGGGAAACCAGAAAGAATTATGAACTGAATGGAGATGAAAATATTCAAAATGTGTGGGATGGTTTTAAAAACAGTGCTTAGGGGGAAATTCATAGCACTAAACACCTATATTAGAAAAAAAGAAAGGCCTAAGTCAATGACCTTAGCTTTCACTTAAAGAACTAGACCAAGAAGAGAAATTAAATGCAAATCAGTAAAAGAAAGGAATTAACAAAGATCAAAGCAGAAGTCAATGAAATAGAAAATGAACAAAGTAAAAATAGAGAAAAACCAATGAAACCCAAAGCTACTTCTTTGAGAAGATCAGTACAGTTGATTAACCTCTAGCCAGACTGGTCAGAAAGAAAAGAGAGTAGTCACAAATGACCAATATCAGGAATGAAACACGTGACATCACTATGGGCTTTACAGGTATTTAAAAGACAGTAGGAATATTATGAATGACCTAATGTCAATTCATTATACAACCTGAAACAGACAAACACCTGTAGAGACATAAAATGCCAAAGCTCACCAAGACAAAACAACTTTAGAGCCACAGGGCTATTTAAGAAATTAATTGATAAATTAATTAATTATAACTTATAAATTAATTTACAAATAAATAAATTAATAAAAACTTGCTCACAAAGAAAACTCCAGGGACAGATGGTTTCACTGGCTAATTCTGCTAAATACTGCAGGAAGAAATAAAACCAATTTTACATAAACTCCTCCCGAAAAATGAAAAGGAAGGAATACTATCCAATTCATTCTTAGGGAGATTTATGAATCTACAGTAATCAAGACAGTATGGCATTGGCATACAGACGGGCAAATATATCAACTGAACAGAAGAGTCCAGAAACAGACCTATAGATATGGACAACTGGTTTTTAACAAAGGAGCAGAAGCAATTTGGTAAAGAAAAGATTATCTCTTCAACAAAAGGGGACAGAACAATAGGACATCTACAGGCAAAAAAAATTTTTGTCACCCCTATTTCACACCATGTGCAAAAATTAACTCAAAATGGATCACGGTCTTAAATGCAAAACAGAAAACCATAATACTTCTAGAAGACAACAGAATTAGGGCAAGACATCTTAAAGAAGACATCACAAACATGATCTATGGAAGAAATTACTATACTGCACTCCACCAAAATTCAAAATATATGGTTTTCAAAAGAGAAGTAAAAAACTCGGAGAAAATATTTGCAAACCATGTATCTGATGAAGGACTTGTTTCTAGAAATATCGTAAGAAAACAAACCCAAGAAAAAATTTTAGCTTAAGATTTCAACAGGTACTTCACCAAAAAAGATCTACAAGTAGCAAATACGCACATGAAAAGATGCCCAACATCATTAGTCATTAGAAAAATGGAAGTTAAAACCACAAAATGAGTTACCATTACACACCTATTAGAACGACTCAAATTAAGAAGATTGACCATACCAAGTCTACGATCACGTGAAGCCATGGGAACACCCACAGGAATGTAAAATGCTACAGGCACTTTGGAAAATGACTGAACAGTTTCTTAAAAAGTTAACTGTCCACGTGTCATATGATCTAGCTACTCCACTTCCAGTCTTTTGCCCCCAAAAGGGAAAATCCTATGTCCGTACAAAAGAACGTACATAAATGCTCCCCGCCCCTTTGCTTGTCACAGCCCGGAACTAGAAACAGCCCAAACGTCCATCAGTAAGGTGATGGACAAACTGTGATCTCTGCATACACCGGAACGTCACTTTCAGTAAGGCTGCATGTACTTCTGATCCACACTTCCTCAGAGTAATTATGCTGAGTCCAAGACGCCAGACAAAATTAAAAAAGGGTACATAATGACTCCACTTATATAAAACTTTAAATACAAAACTAGTGATGCAAAGCAGGTCCTTATTTGCCTAGGAATGTGGGCGTGGCGGAGAAGAGACAGGGAACGGGCCAAACAGGGATTAGCAAGGGCCACAAGGAAACTTTTGGGAGCAATGGGTATGTTCACTGTCTTGGTGGTGGTAATGGCCTCACAGCTGCAGACATACGCCAAAGTTTATTATTGCTGGACACCTGTGCAGTATTGCATACCAAGTATATGTCAATAATGCTGCGCGGATAAAAAGGAAAGACATAGGGACATTAAGCAACATGGCCAAGGCCTCACATCAAAATGCCAGCATGCGGATATATCGTATCTAATAACTCCTTACCATTAGGATATTGTGCTGTCTTCCGTTAGAAATAAAGGTGTGATAGGAAGGAAGGAAGGAAGGAAGGAAGGAAGGTAAGAAGGAGGGGGGAGAGAGGGAGGGAGAAGGGGGGAGGGAGGAAGGAAAGTAAGTAGAAGGAAGAAGGAAGGAAACAAGGAAGGAAGGAAAGTAGGTGGAAGGAAGGAGGAAAGAAGGACAGAAGGAAGGAAGGAAGGAAGGAAGGAAGGAAGGAAGGAAGGAGTAACACAATCCCTCTGTGTTGTCCTTGATTTAAATTTATCTCCTTTTTCCTTGTGCCAGGTTTCAAGAAAAATTACTGGATAGGCCAAAGACTACCCACATGTGTAAGGCTATTAACAAGTGGGTCCCCAGGAGGCCTGGGAGAAGGCCCACCCTCCCTGTCACCTCCATAGCCCATAGCACACTTCCTTACTGGGAAGGGATAAATAGGTTCCATTTTGTCTCTCATCTTTGCCCATGATTTCCCCATCCCTTCTTCCTGGGGAACTGCTGATAACCAACGAGTCTCCCCGAGTCCAGTGTGCCCACCTGGGGGATGGGGCTCTGACTGATCTCTTCCAAAGCTATAAGGTTTTGAAGGAGGGCAGAGCCTTCTGTGAGGCCCGAGGTCGTCTTGGTTACAGTTGTCTCCCTGTGAGTCACCCCCGCCAGGGATAGTGGCCACCTGCCCCCAGAGCCCAGGAATTGGGCCCCTCTCACCTGTTTCTTGGTGTCCACCTCCAGAATGTCCATCAGGTTGATCATGATGTTTTTGTGTGTCTTCTTGTACTTCCCAACCCGCAGTGAGACCGTGAGCCAGCCAGGGCGTCCTGTGCACATGAAGGTCTTGCTGCCCTGCTCCTTCCATTCCCGCACCTGCAACCGGGGGACAGAGGCTCAGCTGGCCCCGGCGGGGGGAGTGGGGAGCCCCAGGGAGCCTGCAGCCCAGCTTTAAGGGGAGGGAGCTTGGAGGGATGCCCTCACGTGTCAACAAACATTTAGTGAGGCCCTGCATCTTGCCATCCCCTGGAAGACCCACAGCCCTTTCCCTCTAGGGAGGCCAACAGAAAGGCTGATGGGCTGCCCCACCAGCGAGCAGGATGGAAAAGGAGTGAAAATCCAGGATCAAAGTGCTTAGGTAAACAACCTGGGAAGCTCAGGAAAGGCTCTGTGGCGGTAATGATAGAGCTCTACCCGAGATAACCATCTCCTGGGTGCCCCCCACTGTAGGCACCCACTGTACATTGTCTCTTTACTTCTCACAACACCCCCAGAAGCAGGGGATGGCCAGCCCCCTCCTGTAGGGGAGAAAGCTGAGAAGCAAAAGAACTTGGTCACTCAACAAGTGAAGGGAGGGGCCCGGATTCGTAACCTGGGCTGCCTGACTCCAGGCCTGGGAAGACAGACGGGCTTGTGTTAATAGTCAAGAACAGAGTAACAGTCACCACTTACTGGGCCTAGGTGCCAAGCCCTGTTCCAAGCATATGTATGTGTTAATTTGTATGTCACTTGGAAGGGGAGAGACGGGGCAGGGAAGGCCCACCAAGCCGATGGAAGGAAGAGCTTTTTTGCAAAACCTCCACCGTAAGTGCCCGGGACACATAACGCAGAGAACAAGTGGCCTAGGAGATGCCAAGTCCATCAGGAACACAGGAGAAAGTGTTCCCTTCCTGCAGAGATGGACATCTGTTGCTGTGGCCTCTTATCATCCGTCTCCTCTTCATATGCTTCTAATAGTCCCATCCTCCTTCAGGTCCAGGGGAAGCTGAGTCTCCTCCTGCCCCAGAAGGTGGGCCCATGACTAAGGTCTGATTTCATCCTTCTGGCGATAAAGGATGGGCCCAAGGGTCAAGTCAAGACAATAAGGCCAGTTCTAGGAGAGGCAGTTTCTTTTAACTGGGATTTCTGAGCTGGTTGAATGAAACTGCTGGGGTTTCCACGGGGAGATGGGTTTCCCTGAGAATGAAGTCAACCCAGAGGAAAGCCGAGCCAACAGATGGTGGACAGATGGTAAACTAGAGATGGGGACAGGGGCTCCTGGATCCAACCATACCTGAGCCAGTTTTATTCCTGGGCTTTTTAGGACCTGAGTCAATATAATCCCTCTCTGCTTGGGCCAGTCTGAGTTGAGTTCCTATCACATGCAACCAAGAGTCGTAGAGGAGAATGTGTTGAAGCTGATAGGACAAATAGGTCAACATGGGGGACAGTTTTCCTAACCTTCAGAGGCCAGGGTACCCTGTGGATAGAGATGTACGAGCACAGGAGGGTGACTGAGGAAGATTCCTGTGAAGGGACCAGAAGGCAGATTCCATGATCATCCGGCCCTCGCCTGACTCTGCGATCCCAGGGCTTCATACGTCCTCAGTGGTGTGGGAAAGGGATTGTGGGTGCTGCATTCCAGCTGTTGGGTGGGCCGCAAGAAGGCAGTATGGAATCCTTAAAGCCTGAACCACCGGTTGGACCGGATCCTGATGGGAACCGAGCAAGAATTTGGGCCAGGAGGCAAGGTTGTACAAAGTCCCTCTTGTGAGTACATGCAAGCCAGAGAGAGATAGGGAGGACCAAGACGAAGGATAACAAGTCAGAGGCTATTAGCACATGCCAGGTGTGAGGCAACAGAACCAAATCTGCTGGGTGGAATGGGAAGGGATGGGAAAGAAGAAAGGTCAGAATTCAGGTTCCAAAACCAGGCTGACCTGGGTTCCAGCCCCATTTACTAGCTGGGATCACCTTGAACATGTGACTACCGCTTCAGCCTCAATTTTTCCCATCTGTAAAACAGGTACATCTTCCCGTCCAGTGAGAATGTTTGGCTTAGTTTAGGTAAACAAGGGCTCCATACCCACTCAGTAGTGTGGGGAATGGATTGTGGGGGCTGCATTCCAGCTGCTGGGTGGGCCACATGAAGGCAGTGTGGAACCCTTAAAGCCTGAACTACTGGTTGGGCTGGATCCTCATGGGAACCGAGCAAGATTTGGGGCTGCAAGAATTTGGGCTGGGAGGCAATGTTGTACAAAGTCCCCGGGCTGCTCTGGCCTAGACCCCAGGGGCCAGAGGTGAGTTAGACAACGGTCCCTGCCTTCCAGAAGCTCACGCTGGGACTGGAGGGGAATGGGGGAACGACAAACAAGTAAATGGGAGAATCTGAACCCGTAGAAAGAGTTAGGAGAGAGGATGCAGCAGGGGAGGGAGGGTAGATTGGGCTCTGGAGTTGTGACTGTGACCAGCTGAACCCAGGGCAGCCCATGCAAAGCACTTCCACACGTTGCGTTCTGCCACCAGCCCAAGGTCTTAGCCCTCCTAGGAGCCACCCCTCCTAGGGGTGGCCGGCAGCATCCATCTTCCCCCTCTTGCTTGCAGCACCCACCAAAGCGCCCACAGAACATGGAGGCGGCTACACGGGCGCTGAGAGCCTTGGCAGGAAACAGAAGCCCTTTGCAACCTGACACTCCTAAGAGGAACCTAAGGAGGGGCAGAGGGAGCCAAGAAAATGCCCAAGCCCGAAGCCCCAGGCCAACCCTGGGAGCGGAGCAGGAGGCCCCACTGTGAGCGGCAGCAGGGCCCAAGCTCGGTGGGCGGGGCCCCCGGGGGGGAGGGTGTACGAGTTAATGCGGATGCCTCCTCAAGGACTGAGGGGGAGCGGAGGGGCCCAGGGCTGCGAGGCTCTTCATCCAGGCTCGGGGCTACCTTCTCACTTTTTAGCCCTTCCTTCCAAATGAGTCAAGCGCTCCTCCTCGCTGCTACAGAGTCAACTCTAAACTCATGACCCCAGTTCCGAAGGGACTTTCCAACCTTTTCGCCCTCTGGGGTTTGGCTCACACCCAACCCTTCACCTGACACACCTTCCTCCTATCAGTTCCCCTACTTCCCAGTCTCTAGTGCCTGCGCCACCTCCCCGAAGCCCTGCCGCCTCCGAGATCGCTTGGGCCCGCAGGCAGCCACCTGTGCACGGCTCGCCCTCCCCGATCTCCTGATCCTTTATATCCCTCTGGGCAAGCCGCACGTGCTCCAGAGTAGACACTCCGAAAACACCCAGCAACGTTTCGTGCCCTGAACGCCTTCGCTCACTCCGTTCCCTCCCCGGGAAGCCCCCACCATCACGCTCTGAGTTCAAATCCCCCTCGAACGCCGCCGTCGCCGCCTCGGCGAAGTCTGGGCTCCCGGGGCGCCGCACGCCACCCCGCGCACACGGCCGGCGGAGTCCCGCGGAGCCGCTCCCGCCCCGCCCGGCGCCGCTCACCTGCTTCTGGATGTCCCGCACGCGCTGCCCGTGCAGCCGAGGCGCGCTGCTGAGCTTGAACACCACCCAGGCGCGCACGTAGTAGTAGATGTCGAAGATAAGCGAGAGCGGCAGGAGGAAGAGGCACACGAACACCCAGCGCTGGTGGATGAGCACGAACTCCAGCCCCTTCACACGGACCCAGAGCAAGAAGAGCAGCGCGCACACAGCCAGCGACACGGCGGGCTCCATGGTGGGGCCGGCGGCGCTTCGCACGGGGGAGGGGGATGTCGGCTCGCGCCGCCTGTCACCGCCACCCGCTCCGCGCCCGCCTGCGCCCGCGCCGCCCGCCGCCCGTTCCCGGGGAGTCGGGGGGGTCGTCTCGCCGCCTCGCGATTGGCTCGGGTCGCAAAGGTTCGGTGGGCCGAGACCCGGCCGGCGACCAATGGCGAGCCGCGCCGGGGATCGGACCAGGAAGCCGCTGCTTTTATTGGCTGCGGGAGTCAGGCCGCTCCACCCTCTCCTCGCCGACGCGCGGGGAGGGCTGGTTGGGAAACACGCGTGCCAGTGGGGTAAACTGCGCCCTGCGGCGAGGGAGGCTGCGGGGGCGCCGGCGGCCGCAGTGGAGGGGCCGCGTGCTGCAGCAGCTTCTCCTCGGGTGGCGCGTCGTGCGGTCACGCGTTGGGTTGGTTAACTCCGAAGGGGTGCGCTGGGGACGCCCCAGGGGCTGGGTCGGTCACCCTCAGCTTGGCGGAGGACTACTGACCCGACCGGGGAGAGTGCAAACTTGGCCCTGACCGCGGCAGTCAGGTCGCTCTGTACCCGCAAGACCACTGGGTGCACCTTTTCCATTTCTCGAGGCGCTCTCTGTAGATTCCTTTGAGTTCTACGGCAGTTCTGGACGGTGGGCACCTTCCCCTCTTTTCCACTTGGCTGAGGCAGATAGGGAGGACCCCCAGCTGGCTCTGGCAGGCCACTGTGCGGGACAGTGTGGAGGGGTGGGGGTGGGAGGGGTCGGGTACGGGTAGGTTAGGGTGCTCCAGGGCAGCCAGGACCACGGAGCAGTGACTTACCAGCAAAAGGTTAAATCCAGTGTCATTTTCGTTTCACCTCCATTCTTAGACCCTCACCTCTTCTGAAATTTTAGAAAGTGTAGGAGGTTTTTATTTTAAGAGCTAAATCTGGCTAATCAGGTCCTACACTGGCTTTGCCTACATAACCATTTTCTCTCTTTCATCTCTGCTGGAACATGCACTGTTAGGAGGTTCCCTGGGCCCCATGATCCCTCATTTTTTTCAGTGCCTTTGCTCCAGCTGGCACCTCTAGAATGTCCTTACACAGAGCTAAACTTAAACATCCTCAAAGCCTGCTCAGGGCTACCTCTAGAACTACATTTATGGCACTCCCTCCCCTTTTCAGGTGCTCATAAAATAAAGTGCATCCATCATGATTCTTACACCTTATTTTGTAATTGTCTCTTTATGTGTCACCCTGGCTGACGGAACTTTAGGGCACAGGATGTCTCCTCGTTTGTTCCCAGTTTTTGTGTTTCCAGTTTCTAGCACAGTGCTTGGTTCCAGTAGACACCCCAGGGTTTGTTGACCAACGAATGGATGAACAATGTAGGCAGAGGCTCAAATATTCGATAATGATGAAAGTCCAGATGGCATGGGGCTGTTTGGATTGAGTTTTAAAAATGAATAGTCTTAGATCTGTGTTGTCTTACACAACAGCCACTAGCTGCTGGCATGTGGCTAATCTAAATTGAGTTGTACTTTTAAGTGTAAAACACACTGGATTTCAAAGGCAGTACAGAGAAGAGAAGGCAAAGTATTTCATTAATAATTTTTATATTGATTATATGTTGAAAATGATGATGTTTTGATGTACTGGGTTAAATAAAATATTAAAGTTGATTTCACTTTCTGTGTTTACTTTTTAAAGATAGCTACTAAAAAATTTAAAGTTATAGATCTGTCTCAAGTTATATCTCTAGCAGTTCCAATCAAGAGGGGGCAATTGGAATGTAAAGAGGAGAGCCGCTCTGGAAGATGCCTTTCCCTGGGGTTCTATCTGAATTCAAATGTTGGAACATTTGAGAGAGGGCTTTGCTATAAAAGCTTAACCATTCTGGGGGCCCTGGGTGGCTCAGTCAGTTAAGCGTCTGCCTTCGAGTCAAGTCATGATCTCAGGGTCTTGGGGCCAAGCCACCCATCTGGCTCACTGCTTAGCAGGGAGTCAGCTTCTCCCTCTCCTTCTGCCCCCCCCCCCCCCCCCACCGCTCTCTCTCTCTCACTCACCCTCTTGGGTTCGGCTCAGGTCATGATCTCATGGGTCATGATCTCATGGGTTATGTGTTCAGACTCGTGCTGAGCAGGAAGTCTGCTTGAGATTCTCTCCCTCTGCCCCTCCCCTCCACCCCCAGGCACATGCTCCCTCGCAGGCACGAGTGCTCTCTCTCTCTCTTTCTCAAATAAATCTCTCTCTCAAATAAATGAATAAACCTTAAAAAAAAAAAAAAAGCTTAAAAAGTTTAACCTTTCCGAGTATTATTGGGCTATGAGGTAATCCGGAAAGTTAAGTTCCACCTGAAAACCAACTTTGGACTAAAGTGTTCAGTGCCTTGTAGGAGCAACCATGAAATTACTGGTAATTAGAGTAGTTTTACCCTTGGGAAGAGGAGGAGGACACCTCAATAAGTAAATAAGACTGAGCTTTAGGGGACAACTCTCAAAAAAGAAAATCAGTGAAAAAGTTGTCAGAACAGTTGTTAACCCAGCTTGCACGTTCTCAATCTCTCTTCCTGCCTACCCACCTGCATCTTTGATTCTTCTTTTGTGTCTCCATAAACCTCAACCTTTTGGGCTACTATTGTTGAGGTAAGAAAAATAGTAACCTCAGGTTGGGCCTATTAATTAATTTTATCTTTTAAGTTAACATATACTGAACGTGCTTATCGTTTGCATACATTTTATGAATTTTAGCAGGCATAAGTGTTCTCATAACCATCGACACAATGAGGATCTAGATTAGTTCCATCATCCCCAAAACTCCCTCCTTTGAAGTCTCATCCTCCCCCAACCTTTAGCCCCTGGAGACTACTGCTCTGTTCTCAGTAGGATAGTTTTCTTTTTCAGAGGTCGAGGTCATAGGAATGGAGTCATGCAGTTTGTTATCTTGGGCCCATTTATCATTTTTAATGGATTTCTCATAGTGGTGAAATACACATAACAATGATCATTTTAACTACTTTTAAGTGTACAGTTCAGTGGTATTAAATACATGCTTCCTAACATTTAGGAAATTGGACTGAATTTATATTGACTCTGAAACTTCTCTAAGAATATTCTTTTTTTTAAGCCCTCTTAAGAGGTTCTTTTCCCTTGCAAAGTGCCATTTTCACCTAAAAGTTTATCCATAAAACTATAAGCTAACTTCCAGATAGTCAAGATTTTATGGTCTTATTACCTTGACTTTCTTAAGAACAGTAAGTAGTTTTTCAAGTTTCCGAGACAAGACCTGAACTTGATTGTAGGGGAGTTGGCTTTCTTAGGCTAGTGGATGGAGCAATTCATTCATTCACTCAGTCTTTCACTGGTGATGCTTTTGGCTGCATATAGCTCAAATGCTGCAACAAGAGGGGTGCTTAAATTCTCATGCAGCAGGAAGTCTGAATGTAGATTGACCCAGAGTTGGCTAATTCACTGGCTCAATGATATCTTGAAAGACCCAGTCCTTCCTATCTTCTCAGACAGAGTCTGAGAATGACCCTGTCATTCTCAAGTTAGCTTCTGTGTTGATGGTCAGAGTGTCGGCGGTTCCGGCAGATACAGCAACATCCAGCAGAAGAAGGAGAATCACTGTAGGTGGAGATTAACGGTATCTATAGCCATTCATTCAGTGCTTACTGATATGTAGGATCTGTGAAAAGTACTGGGGATATAGTAGTGAACTAGACGCCATCCACACTCTGACAGACCATTGTGGGAGATCTAGACCAATCAAGAAGCAATTATAAACCACTGTAAGTACTACGATAAGGAGTTCCTGGGTACTAGGGAGGCACGCAAAGAGTCATTTATATACACGGTTCAGGAGGGCTTCTGGGAGAAATTGATGACTATGTAGACACACCGTGTGATGAAGAGGATGAAGAAGAATCAGCCAGGTGTTATTTGTGTCCAAAGGAATGAGCGATGTTCAGGAGAGGAATGCTGTTCAGAGAAACTAAAGTCCACATATTTATGGCCATACTTCTAGAAGTATCTTTAGGCCCATGCACACATACTGAAATGACTTTACAAAACAAAATCAACTCAACATGAGCCTCATAATTTGCTTTTTATAAACTTAACCACATGCTATAGACATTTTTAATGGCTTCTGTGTATTCCAATGCCTATGTGTGTGTGCCTACATAGGCGTGTGGTGTGTGTGCATGCACGTGCGCACATGCATGGGTAGTGCTTAATTTATCCAATCAGAATGCTATTAAAGGACATTTAAATTGTTTCCAAAGTTTTGTTATGATGGGCAAAGTTCCAGTAATTTTTAAATTATCACACGTTTTCGAACTCATGAAATCTTCTTAACTTTCTTTTTATATTTTCAAACTGCCAAATTGCACTCCAAAAAGGCTATCCACAGAGAATAAGAATAGCATTTTCCCCACGCCTTTACTAACATCATGAAATGTCATGGTTACTTTTAAAAATTTTATTTATTTATAATCTCTGCACCCAACACGGGATTTGAACTCACAACCCCAAGATCAAGAGTCTCACTCTCTACTGTATGAGCCAGCCAGGCGCCCCCGTCATGGTTATTTTGACTATAATAATTGCAGACCATGTGGCTGGTTGCACCATTTGGCTTGTCCCATGTCTCCCACAGCACACATCCAAGCACTTTGCTTAAGACCAGCCCACTACAACGGACATTCAGCCACCGGGCTCCTTTGCCAGCTTGCCGTCATGACCAGTTCTCAGTGCTTTCTAGATAGGAAGACTGAAGCCAATGTCTCAGGCTGACCGGTCTTGGCGCAGAACTGAGAGCATTGCCATTTCGATCCTTGGCACCAGCAGCCCAGATCACTCCCACACTTTACCCTCATCCCCAAGGGCAGCCCTCCTAATCTCCGTGTGCCCAGTGCCCGCACAAGGCCAATGTCCCTGTCATCTGATTCCCAGCTTGATCCTTGAAAGAGAATAATTTTGATTTCTTCGAATATCAGAACACCCCTTAGACGAAAACCATCAGCAGATAAGCACTGCCTACAGACAGTAACACCCATATCTCTTCTCTATTCAGTGGCCAGGCTTTAGCACCTCACTGT